GCAATCTCATGTAACTGGTTTAGGGTGGTGGCATCTAACCTTTCTAACCTTTACTTAATCCAATTTGATTCTTGTCTAAAAGTCATGGGATCACACAATGACCAGACCCCACCTGCACTGATACCATTTTAACTTTTTTCATGTTCTTTCCTTTGTCTTGTAAAGAGATGAATCATATACCTATGCCTTAAATTTAGCTCTAACCCTCAACTTGGGGCAGCAGAAGCTCTGACTGCCCATGGGTCCTGTCCCCATGCTACACTATTCTCTAAATAAAAGAGCACTACTGCCAGATCTTAAGAGTCTAAGAAATCTTTCCTTCGACTCCTCGGCTCACCGACCCACATCATTAAGTACCTTAACACTATCACTGAACCATCACGATCATCCATCTCCAGAATTATTTTTTCATCATCTCAAACTGAAACTCTGTACTCATCAAAAAATAACTCCACATTATCCCCTCCTCAGCACCTAGAAACCACTAATCTACTTTCTGTTTCTATAAATTTAGCTACTCTTAGTATCTCTTATAAGTGGAATCATACAATTGTTGTCCTTTGTGTCTGGCTTATTTCACTAAGCATAATGTCTTTAAGGTTCATCCTGGTTGTACCGTACGTCAGAGTTTCATTCTTTTTAAAAGCTGAATAATATTCTATTGTATGGATATATCATATTTGATAATCCATTCATTCCTTAATAGACATTTGGGTTGCTTCCATCATTTGGCTATGGTGAATAGTGCTGCTATGAATGTCAACCAGTGTTTTAGACATGCAAAGACAAAGTAAAGACTTTATATTGAGATAAAGATGAATATGATAACATAAACTATTGGACAGTTTATAGTCATTCATTCAACAAATATTGCTAAGCACTTACTCTGTAGCAGGCCTTCTTGTAGGTGGAAAGTGGTGAACAAAAAGAGCTTTGTGGGGACAGCCCCATGGCTTGGTTTTTTGTTGTTGTTGAGTTGTATGAATTGTTCATATATTTTGGATATTAACCCTTATTGGCTATAGGATTTGCAAATATTTCCTCCAAGTTGGGTTGTCTTTTTATTTTGTTGATGATTTCTTTCAGTGCAATCTCAATCAGAATCCCAATGACATTCTCATGGAAATAGAACAAAGAATCCTAAAATTTATATTGAACAAGAAAAGATCTTGAATAGCCAAAGCAATCCTGAGAAAAAAGAACAAAGTTGGAGGTATAACACTCCCTGAATTCAAATTATAGTACAAAGCTATAGTAATCAAAACTGCATGATGCTAGCAGAAAAACACAGAGATCAATGGAACAGAACTGAGAGTCCAGAAGTAAAACTACACAGTTATGGGAAGCTAGTCTTTGACAAAGAAGCCAAGAACATACAAAAGAGAAAGGAAAGTCTCTTCAATAAATGGTTTTGGGATAACTAGACAGTGAGTTGCAAAAGAATGAAAGTAGACCATTATCTTCTACCATACACAAAAACTAACTCAAAATGTATTAGTCTTGAATGTAAGACCTGAAACCATAAAACTCCTAGAGGAAAATATAGGCAGTACAGCCTTTGAGACTGGTCTTAGCAGTATCTTTTCTAATACTGTGTCTACTAAGGCAAGGGAAACAAAAGAAAAAATAAACAAATGGGAGTACCTCATGTTAAAAAGCTTCTGGACAGCAAAAGAAACCATCAACTTCCTGAATTTTAAAGTAGAGTATGTGGACATCTTCTTGTTAAGGGGATGGGAAGATCCCATACTGTTTCCTCCAGCATTAGCAGATTGGACCATTCACCTCTAGTCTCTCTAAACCTACAGGAGAGGAAGTTGGGAAAAGGAGATGGAGAGAATTTGGGGAGGATTTCTTTGGAGAATATTGTCAATGTACCACTCTTTTCCTTTTACCCAAGCCAAATGACACAGCCTACTCTTCCAGAGCTGAAGGGCCCAGGAGTGCTGATGTTTTCCTGTAAGCCAGATATGGGCCTCATGGAAAGCAGAAGGTTCTCAGAACCTTCTTAAAAAGAAACTCTCTCAAGTCAACCTCCTGAAGGGGTGAAATAATCATAGTCTGGGAGTCAAGGCCAGAAGCTGGGGAACTGCTTTATGAGCCAGAAATGTCTGGCCAGATGGGGCAGTGACTTCACAAAGAACTAATGGACTGAATTCATGGGTCAGGATTGGTGGAGCTGAGGAGTGCTCTGGCTCTGAGGAACGCACAAAAGTATCCCTCTAGGGAAAGAGCCAGCAATCATACATCTGTCATTAGAAGGTACTGATACCAGACCACATCTATTCCAGTCAACTTTTTCTGCCCTCTTTCCCTCTCCTTTCTATCAGGGCATTTGATCCTGGACTAGCCACATGTGGCACCTACGGAGTGGGAAAGGTGGTACAGCAATAAATAGAAAATCAGATTTACCCTCTTTCATCACTACAAACTTCAGAGACTGAGATGGGGAAGAGAGGATGATTTAATTTGGAAAAGGCTGTGTAGTTTGATATTATAGTGGATTTGACTTTTTAATACTTGGAAAAGCAAACAATTTGGTTTTTACTTTTGAGTGGAAGGAAAAACTGTTAGATGTGTCTGAGATGTTAGTGAGTGGTAGGGAGGTTTGAAATGACATAGCAGCATTTTGAAGGGGTGAAGATGAAAAATAATGAAGTTGCCTTCTTCTTATATGCTGTGAACTTCAGCTCCTTCAAGAAAGTGGTTATAATTCTTCAGTAAATTACACATTATTATCCCTAGTTTATAGGTGGAATTAAAAAGCAGCCCTAAAACCACAAAATTCATGTAATGGATCTAGGATTAGAATTCAGGTGACTGTCTCCAAAACTCAAGCTCTTCCCTGTTCCAGACTGCCTCTATTTCCCCTCCCATTACTGCATTCTAAGATCCTGCAAAGGAACCAACACTGGGAAATCTGGCACACTTAGGATAGCACCCTAGTTCCAAAATTTTGCTGTTTTCACTGAATAGTTGTTGCTTGGAAGCAGAAAACATGTTTATAGTTTGTAAGGTGATTCCACACACATTCTCTTTAGTCTTCACAGTAGCCCTCTCTCTGATAAGGTAAATATTATCGTTACATCTATTGATCTCATTACAGTCTTGAATGATACATCAAAAGGGTAATGAACGGAAGTACATCTTAGATCTGCCAACCTGTAAACTGTGGATGCAGGAATGATATTCATTTTCTTCACTGTTGTATGCAACACCAGACTCCATGCCTGATGCACAGAAGAAGTTCAATAATTATTTCTTGAGTAAATGAATGTGTGAGGTCTTTTAACTCTAAATTGATAAAAGTTTAAGTTTTGTGGTTATAAATGTTTAAGTTTTCTTTTGTTATATCATGTTGCTTCTCTAGCATCGTCAACAAATAGTCTGGGAAAACGTTTATCCACCTAGAAAACTCACTCTAAAACAAGGCTTCTGGAGTTACAGTGAATCTGCCATAACTATATTTGATGGTAAGTCAAATTTTGAGCTTCTATAATGCATAAGGTAATAAAAGACATTTTTCTGCAAGCTTCAATGTCTAGCCAGTAATCTGGTTAGGAAAAACTGATCTCCAAGGCCCCTGAAGCTATAAAGCATGCTATGATTATGTGGGTACTCACTGATCAATTGTCTATTTTCAGAAATTGTGCATTGTACAATAATCAATAGAAGATAACCCATAATGCTTTGTGGAAAAGCACTCAAAAGTTCAGAGAACTTATCTACCTAACTAATAGATAGATTGTGACTTTCAGAGAAAGCTTCTTAATTATCTTAGTTAAATTCATTCTAGGCAAATAGGTGGATGTAAGAGTTCCTTAAATTTCCGAGGACATTTCTATAACAAATTAGCCATGACAATATAACATCATCTAGGCATGGTGATCCATTTCCTCAGTGAAACTCTTTCCTTTCTGTCTCTTTATTCCAAAGTCAAGAGGCAAAGTCAGATTGAGAGATAGAATTGAGTTCTCTAAGAGAAGATGGGACTGTGGCAGGGGTGCCCACTCTACATATGCAGTGGTGGTACAGCACTGTGCTCAGACCCAAAGACTGCCCAGACACCTCATGCATGGAGTCACAACCACTAAATTGAGTTGCATAGATGTACTCCCGTGTGATGCTACAAATCAACTGACCTTACTAGGAACAGGTAGCTCTAGACTAAGAGCTTACACTCCACTACAGCATTTCTCTGTACATTCTCAAGTAATGAACTTCATTACCAGGGTTTAGAGAGTATTATCATATGCTCAACCAAGCTCCAACCTAGAGAAGTTTAGTTAATCCTCTAAACACCTATCAGAAAATTGAATCCCAAGCAAATACAGGTGTAACCCATTCTATCAGAAGCTGTTTCATATGCAAAATGCATTAAAGATGAGCACAAGTCTCTTTATTAATGCAAATGGGTCTTGTGGACCACACTATCTGCCATAATTGAACACAAATCCTTCTTCAGTCCCTGAGATGCATACAGTTTTTTGTATTAGGGCCATCACAAAAACTAGTGTATACGGCCAAGGGTTTCATTCCATTCACCAGGTGAAACTTAAAACCCCACATCGTTTTCCACAGATTCCTATTGATGGGAGCTACCTGTGAGTGCAAAACTTGGAGTAGTGCATTTTAAACTTTCAACGGCAGGGAGTTAGCAGGGAAAGAAAATATATTAGCGGAATGATGAAAAAAATAATAATTGAAATTAAGTAACAAAATAAAGCTTTTAAAACACTAAGTCTACTGTGAGGTGTCTGTAGGAAGCAAAATTGAATGGACTGGGGGTTTGAACTATAATATTGGTATATTATAAAGAAAACATCATATATAGGGTTTAATAAATTCATATTGATTGACTATAAATGAATGAACAATTCGATGGATGGAAGGATAAAAGGATGCCAACCAGCCCCCAAATGCTTTCCTGGAAGCTTAGGAATCCAAACAATTACTCTGTCCTTTTAGATTTCTTCCACTCTTCATTTCTAGATAAGAATTTAGGTCCTACAAAACATCCTCTTAGCAACAGTCCTGTACACCCTGTATATGGCATCTTTGACTTCCTTGTTCCTCAAGCAGTAGATAAGTGGGTTCAACATGGGGATCACTGCTGTATAAAACACAGACACCACTTTATTGAGATCCAGGGAGAAACTTGCACTAGGCCGTACATAAATAAAGAAAAGAGTACCATACAGGATGGAAACAGCTGTCAGATGAGATGAGCAGGTAGAAAAGGCTTTATGCCTCCCTTCAGCAGAGTGGATCTTCAGTATGGTAATGAGGATGTAAATGTAGGAGACCAGGATAGTCAGACCACTGAAGACTTCCACAGCTCCAGCCATGATGAAAACTACCAATTTATTGAGCCTAGTGTCAGCACATACAAGGGAAAGCAGCAGGGACATGTCACAGAAGAAATGATTAAAGACATTGGAGCCACAAAAAGGGAGATGAAATGCATTTGTTGTATGAGTCATGGTGTTCATGAACCCACTGACATAGGGACCAATCACCAGCTGGATACAGAGTCTCTGAGACATCGCGACTGAATACAATAATGGGTTGCAGATGGCTACATAGTGGTCATAGGCCATGGATGCCAAGAGGAAACACTCTGCTGCCACAAAGAACCCAAAGAACCACTGCTGCAAAGCACAGCCCAGGAAAGAGATGGCTTTCCTCTTCACAAAAAAGTCAGTGAGCATCTTGGGGCTCACAACTGAGGAGAAGCAGATGTCCACAAAAGACAAGTGGCTGAGAAAAAAGTACATGGGCATGTGTAGGCGGGAACTGATCCGTATCAGAATAATCATACTCAAGTTTCCAGTTAGGTTGATGACGTGGAAACTCAGAAAGAGCAGGAAAAGTAAGATCTGTAACCGGGGGTTGTAATTCAAACCTGTGAAAATGAACTCATTGACCCTTGTGTAGTTTTCATGTGCCATTGGCTGGTTCTGGTTTCCACTAGAAGAAGAACAGAGGAGTCACAGCAGATTTGGCAAACATATCTTCAAAATGGGACACAGGAAAAATATACTAGTAACTGGGAGAGCACTAGAGATGATACTACTTAGCTGCAAGTTCTGGCCAAGGAAACAAAAATTAAATATAGATCAGTGTAAAAATATCAGATCTTAAGTTATATTTTAAGTTTCTGTAGAAATCTATCAATACAGAGATAAGAAAATGGAAACCTAGGAAAGAGGAGAAGCTTGCTCCATGTCCCATAACTAACTGAGGCAAAAATGGTTCCAGAATAGATGTCTAATAACTCCCACTTCAGTGAACTTTGTGTGAGTTCACCAGGTGAATACACATCAGGAAAGATGACATAGGAGAGTAGAAGTGAAGCAAGCTGGAGAAGAAATGAACAGCAACTCATTTTTTAAGTGGCATGCTGTGCACTTTGTGATTATAACCTAAGGCTAAATGTATATTCTCCAACTTGTCTCGAGTCTAACTCCAGACCCTGGAAAGCTACTTTTCTTCATCTCTGAAACAGAAATAATAATATGAAAAATTACCTTGTAAATTGTTGTGAGGATTAAATGAGATAATTCATGCAAAGCATTTAGCAGAGTGTTATTGAGGACCTAGATTAGAGAAGAATAATTGTTAGTATTTTTGTCATACATACTCCCTTTAGTAGACCTACAAGCTAAATGTCATTTTATTTTGCATAGGAAGAAAACAGAAGCTCAATCTATATTCATAATACTAGTGACTGGAAGAGATGAGCTTTGAACATGCATCTTTAAAAAATGGACTATGTTTTTTCCTTTACACACTGCAGAAATGTTTCCTGTGTCTTCACAATTCCTTCCATTTCAAAGAAATCCAAAATTCATTCCAATATGAGTACAGGATAATGCATTTTTGGCTTCCTATTCCTGGAGTTGAGGTTATAGCCAATGGTCATTAGTGAAAAGGCCATGAAATGATAGTGTTGAGCATAAGTATCACCTTTATGGAAATGATGCATGGAAGAAGTCTGGAAAAAAGCCTAAATTCTCCCAACTCTGTATCCTCTACATTTCCTTTTGTCACTCACTGTAAGGAGGACCTTGGTTAAGTCACCTGATCTCTTTGAACCTGAGGTGCTTCATTCATTCAATGTGCTTTTGGCTTGATCTCAGAATTCTCATCCATTTACAATGAGAGGGTCGATGTGTAGGTGCTCAGAAATCTACTAATACTTTACTTTTAGAAAATTTTATTCGCCCAGGAATATTGAAGTCCCACATCATACTTTTGCTAGACGCTTTTCCGTCTAATTTGAAATTTATTATTTGACTTTAGCAAGACTTCCTCTGAGGCAAATAATATAGTTTACATTATATATTTTGCTTCAGGAGAAATAAAGAGAAAGATGGAATGACCAGTCCAAGTGTTCACTCATCACACCTTTTGCTTAAACCTGTTCAAAAGTCTAATAACTCCTCCAGGATCCATCACATACTATATCTCAGTCCTCCACTTGACAGTTGCCCAAAGCTGCTCAACTCCTCCTTGTCAGTCTTGGTTTCAGCACCTGCCCAAGCCTTCTACCCATCTATACACATCTAAGTTTCTCAGTTTATCTATTTCATTTGGTGCTTAGAATAGAATATGATGCTCTGTACAGACCAAACCACACAGACTGGGGGACACAATCTCCTCTCATGTTGAGAGCCAGAGGATGACATCAACACAACCTATGACAGCCTTCTCTTGGCAAGGAATTCACCCAGGTGGTTTAGACAAGAATATTAATTGAATTCAGGACTATCTTTTTTTGATTGCAGTAACATTGGATTATAACATTATGTAGCTTTCAGATGTACATCATAATATATTTTGAATTCTGTGTAGATTACATCATGTTTACAGCCCAAAAACTAGTTATAGTCCATCACCACACATGTGAGTACTATATTTTCCTCTTATTCTGCTGTTAAAATATCTCTGTTCTATTTTATAGTTTGATAAAGTTGCAGAACCTAAATTTGTGTCTACATAAATTCTCTCGTTAGGTCTTGCACAGTCATCTAACAAAGATGAGGATAATGCAGATCCTGACCAAGAATCAAATTCATAATTTATATTAATTCCAGTTAAAATAGTTTATGTTATCTTGAATTTGTTAAAATCAGGTAGAAAGAAGAACATAAAATTATTTAGAAGATTGCAACTTACAGTCTAATGGGCTGCCTCTCCTTTAAAGATGTCAAGAAGAACTAAGGTAAAAATGAGTCGTTTCTCAGGTTTCATCCCTTCCCTTAACAAGCCTACGTTCACACACAGAATGTGTCAGAATTTACAATACTTATTTGATTTTATTCTTTATTTTCTTACAGAAAGGAAATATGGAAGACTTCACTGTAAAACATATTCGGAGTCTTTATCAATTAGATAAAAGTTCGCTGAACTAGTTGCTTCATTAATCCCTTTGTATTTGTTATTGAAGATGCTCTGTCCCCTAAGTGTACTGTATCTTAGGAATGAGCCTGATAAGGGAAAGTGCAATTGAAGCTTTGTTTCATATTCTAAGTAAGTCCAATGAGATTTGTTATCTGATAATTTTACACTTGTTTCTAACTGGATGCATTCTCTCCATTCTCTCTAGTTCCAGGCTAAGCAAGAAAACTCTATGGAATCCTTTGTAAATTGAAGTAGCACAGAGAGGGTGGGCCACTGGAAGACCTTAGCTCCCCATGCCCCTCTCTCTTCTGCATTAGTATCTTGGGAGGAAGAGCAAAGAGTGTAGAAAATGGACTTTTCTCAGACATAGCATTTACTGCAACATGTTGCCAAAGAAATAATTTTCCTTGGACTTTTTCCAAAATATGTAGTTTCACTATTGTGAGCAAAGCCTGGAAGAGAACAACTGCTGACGTATTAACTGGTTGTTAACTTTAGCAGAAGATTATAGCTGAACTATTAGGAAAGGGCAAAGGAAATATATTTCTTATTGTCAAGAAAAGAATAAAAGCCAGTAAACCAAAACTCTTTGGGGTTATGTTTCACTTCCGATACAAACAACATCAGCCTGGCAAAATTGAGTCTACATGGAGAACCGAATTTTGGTTCTATCCTGAATAAAGGAAAATTACAGGTCACTAGGCCTGCAACACAACTTCCCCACTGTAGAAGGTTCTGTATGGGGTTTTTCTGTCTTTCATTTCTTAGCATGCTAGTGTATTCTTTAAAGCAATTTTTCCATGAGATTTTAATTTTGGTAATAACTTTCTGTTGGCTCACATATGACAGATAATTTTATTTCTCCACTGAAAACCCTTTAGACATTGTCATTTTATTATATTTTTTTACTATTAATTTCATTAAAAACACAGAATTGTTTGAAATTTTCCCCTTTTTGGGTAGCAGATTTTGTTTGCCTTCATATTTAAATAATTATTTTATTAACCTTATAATTAAAAAAATCCTCCAGGATTTTTGGGCTTCTTTTTATTGATTTTTATCTAAAAGACAGTGAAAATTTTAAAGCTAAATATTTGACTCTTCATTAGCTCAGAAAACATTTTATAGCTTTGATCATCCCTTCCATTTCTATTACTCTGACTTACCCTAAACATACACATAATCTGTTGATGAATCTCAACTTTATGGTTTTGATATCATAATGTTTCTTCTCCTCTTCTTAGTCATGCTGTCCTTTTTCTCTGCATCTTGCAAGAGCTTTTCAAATTAGTACTTTCAAGCATGAATTAAATCTTCTAAATATCAGTTCTTTACTTAAAGCCTCCCATGTGGCTTTTAATTTTCACATTGCACTGTAGTTTCCTTAAAGTCCTCAATTAATACTTGAATACCTTTCTTCTCATCTTTTTTTTTAAAAGGATATCTTCTCTTCCATGATTTCTGTCTCTTCTTCATGAAGACAAGCATATGTGTGATGCTCCTAGAAAATTCAAATATTTTCTAATGCTTTTTCTAGTTCCTTTGGTGCTTCATTTGAAAATTAGGTGATTCCTTTGAGATGTCTGCATAACAACCCCTTTCTGTTTGGTGGCAGCATGAGTCATTGGTTTGATATTGCTAAGGGATTTTGTCTGTGTGCTTTCTTGAGTAAAGGGTCTTCTATATACAACAAGCACTTGCCATCAGTCAGGGTGTGTAGAGAGCCTATGATCTTTTTTACTATCTTCCTGATGGTTAGTTAAAGCTCTTTTCCTTGAAGAACTGGTTAAGGCTTGTTCCATAAACATACTATTTATATTTTCTACTTTTTTTTTAATTTTAGTTACTGAATGCAATGGCTATTCATATTTTAATTTTTCCTGTTACCTATCACATAGTTTTGATTTATTTATGTAAATATGTTTTGAACTGTTCTTTGCTTAGAGTATATATATATATAATTTTTTTTTTTGAGGAAGATTAGCCCTGAGCTAACATCTGCTGCCAACCCTCCTCTTTTTGCTGAGGAAGATAACCCCAGCTAACATCTGTGCCCATCTTCCTCTATTTTATATGTGAGATGCCTGCATAGCATGGCTTGATAAGCAGTACATAGATCTGCACCTGGGATCTGAACCGGTGAACCCCAGGCAGCTGAAGCAGAGCCTGTGAACTTAACCTCTACACCATTGGGCCAGCCCTTAGAATATATATTTCTAAGATTTTTTTTTTTAAATTTACTTTCTGAAATAGAAAGACAAATACTGTATGATCTCATTTATATGTGGAAACTGAAACTAAAAAAAATAAAAACAAAACCCAAACTCTTAGATACAGAGAATATATTGGTGATTGACAAAGAGAGAGGGTAGGGGAAGAGAAAAATGGGTGAAGGGGTTCAAAAGGTATAAACTTCCAGTTATAAGATAAATAAGTCCAGAGGATGTAATGTACATCGTGGTGACTATAGTTAATCACACTTTATTACATCTTTGAAAGTTGCAAAAAGAGTAAATCTTAAAAGTTCTCATCACAAGAAAAAAAT